TTGGCCCCGACATTGGAGGGGCGTCTAACGACGTTGAAGGGTGCGCCGACGTCGCAGGGGCGTGTTCGCCATTTTGAGGTTAGTTCTGACGAGGGTAGTAGGATGTTGTATAGACCTCCTGGCCTCGGCCAGGAGGGCGTACACACACTATACCAGGGCCAGGATGGCCCTGGCTTGACAGGGTGGTGGTGTAACTATAGATGCTGTCTGCGTAGTGGAGCTCGCCAGCGGCGCGTTCCTCTTCACGTCCTGCTGAAGCGTGATGCGGGTTCGGGCAGCCGGGGCTCGTTCTCTACTGGCGGTAGGAGCAGGCGGCCGAGTGGCTCCTCGGGGGCAGGACGGCCCCGAAGAGTTCAGGCAGCAGAGTGCCCCAGCAGCGTCGATCGTTGGCGGCGGCTCTCGGTCGGGGTTTCTCGTGGTGAGCTCGCGGTGGAACCACTCTTTTCGAAACCTCTGATAGAAACCTCCTCCTCCTCCTCCTCCACTTCCTCCTCGTCATTTCCTCTCCTCCCCCGCCTCTTCCTGACCCTCTGCATCCGTATTTTTCTTCTTCTTCTTCTTCTTCTTATTATTATTCTTCTTCTTCTTCTTCTTCTTATGGAGGAGGAGGAGGAGGCGGGGGAGGAGCGGAGGAGGAGGAGGAGGAGGCGGAGGAGGAGGAGGCGGGGGAGGAGGCGGAGGAGGAGGAGGAGGAGGAGGAGGAGGAGGAGGAGGAAGAGGAGGCGGACGATGAGGAGGAGGAGAAGGAGGAGGAGGAGGAGGAAGAGGAGGAGGAGGAGGATGAGGAAAGGAGGAGGAGGAAAAGGTGGAGGCAGAGGCGGAGGCAGAGACGGAGGCGGAGGATGAGAGCAGAGGAAGGAGGTAGGTAAGGAAGGAATGAAGGAAGGAACGAATGAAGGAATGAAGGAAGGGACGAGGATGGAGATGAGGAAGGAGGTGGAAGGAGGTGGAGGATGATGGAGGAGGACGAGGACGAGGATGATGATGATGACGGATGAAGGAAAAAGAAGGACGGATCAACAGGAGGATGGAGGAGTGGGACAGAGGCGGACCGAGGACGGAGGAGGAGGAGGAAGGAGGAGATGGGGCGGCTCCAAATATGTATGCTGTGTCGTGCCCACCTCTCGCCACCATGCGCGCCTGGGCTTGGAGCTGCCCCCAGGTGACGAGAGCCTCCTGAAGGAGGCCATCAACCGTGCCAAAGAGGTGAACCTGCCTCTGGAGGATGCGAGCAGAGGGGGGGGTCGTCATCGTCGGAACCATCCCTGACCCCCACCGGGACAGGGTAAAGGTGAGCTCTCCCAGCGTACCCCCCCTCTGGGTGGGGACGGGTACCGCGAGACCCTCAGAGGAGACGGCACCCCTCCCCACCCAAAGGGGGGTTGGATGGCCGGCGGGGCCAAGGTTTCCCAAGCGGGGATGGGGATGGTTGTGTACCTCTGGAGGGGCGGGGAGCAGGTCAGAGCACAGGCATGAACTACATACCTATACATATATACACATATATACACATACATGTAGGACACCATTTGAATACGTATAGATACATATACATATATACACGTTTATATACATGCACACAAACATACTTACATACATACATACATACATACACACATACATACATACAAACATACATACATACATGCATGTATACATAAATACATACATACACACATACATACATACATACATACATACACACACATACATACATACATACATACATACATACATACATACATACATACATGAACCTCGTACATACATATACGCATATACTTTTACATACATATAACAATATGCTTATGTATATCTATATATATATGTACAAGACTGCAGTGGCGCTTCGCGCCATGCACCTTGGAAGTTTGGTATGCAGGCGGAACGGCAGGAAGGGCAAGCCGACAATTTAGCGACAACTCCTTTCTGCCTTTTCTGGCATCGCCGTTATAATAATGTTCTTCGTTATCCTTCCTCCATGCTTATTTTTCTTCATTCTCGCCATACCCTGCGCATTCTCCCCACCCTCTTCAGCTCTTCTTGCGGAGGCTCCTCCTTGGAGAGCCTCTAGGGGCCTCACACAATTTTTCAGGCTTTCTTAAGGCCTGCTGGAGGCCTCCTTGGCGTGTTCTGGGGGCCTCTGGGGGCTTCCTCGGGCCACCCTGCCTCCAACCGCGGTCTTCCTGGACGACGGGGTCACGATTTGGAATGCTTCGGAGGGTGTCTTGGGGCCATCTTGGGCCGCCATGCTGCTCTTTCAGGGCCCTCTTGGACCCCTGCTGTGCCGTTTTGGGGCTCATGGGCTGCCTGGAAGCCCTTTCGGATGGTTGTGGGGCGATTTTGGAGCCTCCCAGGGGGCTTCGGATGCAGAGATTGGGCACCGTCGGATTCTATGTACGAAAGCCATTTGGCCCCAGAGGCTTTCGGCTTGGATCGGACTGAGAAAAGCATCAGCAGTTTCTCTCTTCATGGTATTGCGGAGCCTGGTTTGATCCTCGGTCTGAGAGACCGACAGGGAGTTCGCTGGCTGGCTGGACGCTGCATGAGATGGCGACCAACGAGGAGCTGTTCCGACAGATGCAGGCCTTGACCGCAGAGGTTCAGAGGCTGAGCGAAGAGAACGCCAGACTGCAGCGAGAGCAGCAAGGTGGACTCCAGGCCATCCCGGCCCTCGTGGATGCAGTGACCCGCCTGACGGGTAGACCCGAGCAGTTCCAGAGGCTCGTCGACACGAAAGGGATCGGCAAGCCATCAGTGTTCGACGGGTCGGAGTCCAAGTGCCGCGAGTGGGCCGCCAAGTTCGAGTCGTTCGTGGTTGGAGTATTCGGGGAGCAGTTCAGGGCGGTGCTGGAATGGAGCGTGGAGCGACACGACTCGATCGATCGCGGGCTCTGGCAGGCAGCCTTCGGCCCGCACAGTGACGGCGAGATCGACCACATCGACGAGATGGTGGCTCAGCTGCATACGGCGATCCAGCAGCTCGTGACGGGCGAGCCCTTCGACATCACCCAGAACGTCGACAAAGGCAACGGGCTCGAGTGCTGGAGGCGCCTCGCGAGGAGGTTCGACCCTTCCACCGGCGGGCGGAAGCGGAACTTGTTGAAGCTGGTCCTCTCGCCCGGGCGCTGCAAGCTCGAGGAGCTCGCGGGTGCCCTGGAGAGGTGGGAGGAGGCCGTGAAACGGTATGAGTCTAGGAGGGACGACGACGGCAACCGAGAGCGGCTCTCGGACAGCGTGCGTATGTCTGCCTTGGAGAGCCTGCTGCCGGCTGAGCTCGAAGAACACGTTCTTCTCAACCAGAGCCGCCTGAACACATACGAGCTGCTCAGGAGGGAGATCGCGTCGTACCTGGAGGCCAGGACAGGTGCTCGACTTCGAGACGCCCCGGTGCTCACCAAGACGCAGCGCGACCCCAACGCCATGGACATCGGCGCCCTGGTCCGGACGTACCAGGGCGGGAAGGGCGGCAAGGACAAGGGCGGCAAGGGCAAGACGGGCACTGGCAAAGGGAAGGACGACAAAGCCAAGAAAGGAGGCAAGGGCTCAGGCTCAGGCTCAGGCAAGGGGTCTGACACGTCCCACCTCACATGCTGGAACTGCGGGCGTTCAGGGCACAAGAGCTCGGACTGCTGGAGACCGTCTGCCTCGGCGGAGGTGATCGCCAAGGCTAAGGCTAAGGCCAAGGGCAAGCAGAAGCCGAAGGGCGGCGGCAAGCACGACGCGGGCGCGCTGGACGTCGGGAAGTCCGAGGAGGAGGCCCCTGGCAACTGGGAGCCAGAGGACCACATGTTCTTGGAGCTGTTCTCCGCCGAGCGCGAGGAGAACGAGAAGGAGGTGAACAGGAGGATCGTGGACGACAAGGGCTGGGTGAAGGTCAACTGCGACAGCGGATGCGCGAGCTCGGTGATCCCCCGCGAATGGACTCCAGCGACTTCGGCCCCTTCGAGTCAGAGGTTCAAGACGGCGAGTGGGGGTCTCATCGCAGACGAGGGCGGCGGCGTGCTGGAGGGCATCAACGAGAATGGTGCTAGGATGCGCATCGCCGGGCGCAGGGCTGCGGTTACCAAACCCCTCATCTCGGCCAGCGAGATGCTCAACAAGAGGATCGGCATCCTGGACGAGAGCTGCGGCATGGTGATTGAGAAGGGTTCCACTGCCGGACGGGCGATCATGAAGCTGGTCGCCAGGCTCAAGGAGACGGGAGCGCTGGAGAATAACATCAGGTTGCATCAGGAGCGCGGCGTGTACAACGCCTACCTGAAGCTGCCGGAGGAGAAGGCCAAGGAGCTCGAGCAGTTGCCGCTGGACACGATCGAGTCGGAGCTGGCCCATCGCCGAGCCGAGGCGGATCTACTCGCTCGAGCACGTGCAGGGCTTGCCTCGCCGGCCCGTCCCCCCGCCTTGCAGGCGTCGGGGGGCAGCCGGCGGGCACCGCCGTAAGCCCGAGCGCGCCGCCAGCAGCCGGGCAGCTGGCAGGAGGCGCGGAAGCCCCGGTGGAGCAGCAAGGAGGATCGCTGCCCCAGGAGGAGGAGACTCGAGAGCAGCGCGGCAGGCCGCCGCGGGTTCGGCTGGCCAGGAGCCCCGCCCAGCCGACCGCTCTCGAGATCGAGGAGCACGAGGCGCAGGGCCACGTCCACTTCAGGTCCTGGTGCCCTTCGTGCTGTGCGTCGCGTGGGACTGGCCAGGCGCATCGCGGACATCAACCTGCTGAGGGAGAGGTTCCTACGGTCGTCACCGACTACGGCTACCTCAACGCTAGCGAGTCGGACAGCAGAGGCCGCGACGTCAGCTCTGCGATCACGGTGTTGGTGATGCACGACTGCCTGCCGAGCGGGACGGGCTGCTACGGTGCGAGCTCGGTCCCTGCCAAGGGGAAGGATGACTTCAGCTCGGGCGTGGCGGTCGACTTTTTCAATCACATCGGCCACAAGAGGTGCATCTACCAGTCGGACGGCGAGAACCCGCTGCTGGCGCTCAAGAGGGACGTCTGCAGCAAGGCCGAGGGGAAGGAGCTGCTGCTTCGCGAGAGCCCGGTGGGAGAGCACCAGGCGAATGGAGCAGCCGAGAACGCGGTGAAGGTCATCAAGGGCGTCGTCAGGACGGTGCTGGTGTCAGCCCAGGCCAAGTGGAAGCAGCGTCTGCCGTTCGGGCACCCGCTGATGCTGTGGGCCCCCACTTATGCAGCCCAGATGCTGAATAGGTTCAAGATCGGCGACGACGGTAAGACGAGTGAGCAGAGGAGGTCTGGCAAGCGCTGGGAGAAGGTGACGGTTCCCTTCGGCGAGCGCATCCAGGTGAAGAAGCTGGTGAAGGACTCGCTCAAGCGAGACCTGGAACCCCGCTGGGTCACGGGCTACTACGTGGGCCACACCAGCAGGAGCGGCACGGCGCTGGTGCTCACCTCGAAGGGGGTGCAGCGCGGCACGGCGATCTCACGCCTGCCGCCCGCCGAGCGCTGGGCCTGGAACGAGGAGGAGGTCCTCGGGCTCAAAGGCAAGCCTTGGGACTGGAAGGGCGGCGAGGAGCGCTACGCGGCAGCTCCCGCGGACGTCGCCCCGAGAGCTGGGCGCGTGGATGCGCCAGTGGTGGTGGCGCTGCCAGCAGCTGCCGAGTCTCGAGACGTGGGCTTCTACGTCACCAGGGCCGACATCCTGGACGCGGGCATCGGGCCGACCGAGGGCTGCGTCGCCTGCGAGAACCTGGTGGCCACTGGGCGCGCAGGAGTTGCCCACTCTGCCGACAGCGCGTGATTGAGGCGCTGGCGGCCCGAGGTGACGAGCGACTTCGCCGGTTCAGAGAGGCGAAGGCGGCTGAGGAGGAGCAGGCGAGAGGAGGCGAGGCAGGCCGAGCGGCGCCAGGAGCAGCCGCCGCCGCGCCGCCTCCCCCACCAGCCCCGAGAGACCTCGAGGGCAGGAGAGGCGCGAAGCAGGCGCGGGCGGATCCGCCGCCCGCGGGGTCTTCGGCGCCGCGCGTCAGGAGGCGCGAGGAGGAGCAGCCGCCCCAGGAGGCGCGTGCAGCCCCCCAGCCTATGGCGGTGGACCTTCGGGGCGCGGCCCCGAGGCCAGCAGGAGGAGGTGCAGGAGCGCCGCTCGCGCTCCCTGCGCCGGCCGGGTTAACGTCACCCCAAACGGGCCCTGGAGGCCCGGCGCCAGCATCCGCGGCGGCTTCGGGCTCGGGAGGCCCGGCGCCGGCGGCGGCAGCACCAGGCCCAGGAGGCGCTGGACCTGCTGCCATGGAGACGGGCGGACTCGAGGAAGTGCCGCTCGAGTTGCAGTCGCTCGCGTTCTCGGAGTACTGCAACCCAGGATGCTTCACTGGGCTTGCTGGGGAGTTTGGCATGCTCCCAGGGCTAGCGGCGGACATCAGCCTCAAGGACCGGGAGTCTCAGGAGGCGCTGGACATGAGGAAGATCGTGAACCAGCAGAGGTACATGCAGGCGCTCGAGGACCAGGACCCCTACTTGGTCATCGGGGCGCCGCCCTGCACGCGCGTCTCGAAGCTGACGAACTTGAACCGCGGCAGGTACAAGGACCCGGAGGCGCACGCCAAGGCCGAGGAGGACGATCGTGCGCTGCTTCGCTTCGGGATGGAGGTCTACAAGGATAGGCACGCCAAGGGCAGGTGGTTCTTGCACGAGCACCCTTGGGATGCCAAGTCGTGGGACGACGAGGCGGTGAAGGAGGTGGTCTCGCTCCCTGGGGTGTACCTCGTGCGAGGGGACATGCGCGCCTCGCTCCCTGGGGTGTACCTCGTGCGAGGGGACATCAGCTCAAGGGCGATGACGGGAAGGTCGGGCCGGTCAAGAAGAGCACCGGCTGGCTGACCAACAACGAGCGCCTTGCTAAGGTGCTAGCAGTCTGCTGTCCTGGAGGACATCGACACGTACCGCTACTTGGAGGAGGCCGTGCTAGGAAGGCGCAGGCCTACACGCCTTCGCTACGCCGCGCGATCTTGCAGGGGCCCAAGGAGGAGCTCGAGATCGCGGGCGAGATCAACTCGTTCGAGGGCGTCGGACCGGTGCCAGACGAGGAGGCGCAGTACTTCAAGCCAGACGCCCCTCCAGGTGCAGCTGAGTCGGACAAGTGGTACTGGGACGACGTCAACGGGGGCTGGCTCGACCCTGCGGGAGTGCGGGCCGCGCGCCAGGAGGAGCTGGCCTGGATGAAGCATCGCGAGGTGTTCGAGCCGAGTGACGAGGAGACCTGCAGGCGCCTGACCGCTCGGGCGCCGCTACGGACGCGCTGGGTCGACACCAACAAGGGCGACGAGCAGAGGCCGAAGTACCGCTCCAGACTGGTCGCGATGGAGATCAAGGCTGCGAAGAAGGCGTCCGAGCAGATGAGCGCGAGCGAGCTCTTCAGCAGCACGCCGCCGCTGGAGGCGGTCAAGCTCCTGTGCTCGCTCATGGTCTCGATGTGCCGCTCGCCCCGAGGACTCCCCCTCAAGATCGGCTTCTGGGACGTCAGCAGGGCGCACCTGTACGGAGACGCCCAGAGGATCTTGTTCGTTCGTCTTCCTGAAGAGGAGGGAGGAGGAGTCGCTCGGCTGCTACGTTCCATGTGTGGTACTCAGGACGCGGCTTCAGTGTGGCAGAGCGACTGGAGTCGACAGCTCTTGGAAGATTCGTGGCGCATGGGCGTGGCAAGCCCAGCTGTGTTCTATCGTCCCAGTGATGAAGGTCGCGGGCTGGCTCATGGCGACGACTTCATGGTGCTCGGAGACGAGATCACGCTGAAGGAGATCGAGACGAAGCTGACCGAGCGCTACGACATCAAGTGCACCGGGATCTTGGGTCCCGACAGTGGGGACGCGAAGGAGGTCGTGTTCCTCAACAGGGTGTTGCGGTACGTTGATGGCTCCACCCCGGCGGTGGAGATCGAGTCGGACCAGAGGCACGTTGAGCTGCTGATCAAGGAGCTGGGCCTCGAGAACGAGTCGAAGGGCCTGGACGTGCCGTCGGTCAAGAAGACGGAGGCGGACATCGACTACGAGGCGAAGCTCAGCACGCTGCCCCCGGACGAGGTCCGTCGGTATCGAAGCGTGGTGATGCGTGCCGCCTATCTCACCTTGGACAGGCCGGACATCGTCGACGCGGTCAAGCAGTGTTCGAGGCGCATGCAGGCGCCGACGTCAGCAGACATGATGATGGCCAAGAGGCTAGGGAGGTACCTCGTCAAGCATCCGTGTCTAGTCGCAAGGTTCAACAAGCAGAAGATGCCGGACAGGATCACGGCCACCTGCGACTCGGACTACGCGGGGTGCCTCATCACCAGGAAGTCCACCAGCGGGACGGTCTTGGCGCTCGGGGAGCACACTCTGTCGGCCACGGGATCGCTGCAGAGCACGGTGCCCCTTTCGAGCGGTGAGGCTGAGTACTACGGCATCCTCCGCGCGGCCGCTGCCGCGCTCAAGGTTGCTGCCATCGCCGTGGACCTCGGGCTCGAGAAGAGCGTCGAGGTCGTCTGCAAGCACGGAGAGTTCCCGATAGAGGTCTGCGGGGACTCGACTGCGGCGATCGCTTTCGCATCGCGCCAGGGCCTGGGCCGTCAGAAGCATGTGATGACGAGATACCTGTGGCTTCAGAGCGCGGTCAAGACCAGGAGGATCATACTCAAGAAGGTCGACACACGGGAGAACGTAGCTGACTCGTTGACCAAACCGTTGTCGGCGAAGGTGGCCCAGAAGCATCTCAAGAGGATGGGTTACCACTTCAGGTCGAGGTGGAGCGCCCTGCACCGGACGATCGCCAAGAGATCGGCGACGTGAGGTTCATGAGCGGGGTGCTGCGCTGGCTTTTCGAGACGGGCACGTTGCCTGTCCCATCATTTTCCTGTCGCTTCGCGACGGCTTGCACGACCGGCCTGTGCGGCGAGACGGTGCCTGGTGGTGGCTGCCTAGCTTGGGGCTAGTTGCCAAGGAGGAGTGCAGAGATTGGGCACCGTCGGATTCTATGTGCGAAAGCCATTTGGCCCCAGAGGCTTTCGGCTTGGATCGGACTGAGAAAAGCATCAGCAGTTTCTCTCTTCATCGGACGCCCAGAAGACTGCCGTCTTGGAGCGTCGGGAAACCGAAAAGAGGAGAACCCCAAAATTCACAAAAAAACACAGAAATAGAATGATGTTTGCCTCTTGGGGCCTTCTTGGAAGTGCTCTTGGAGGCCTCTTGGGACGTTTCGGAGCGATATTTGGGGGTATGACGGCTTCTTGGGGGTTGTGGACCGTATTCTGGCTCTGGGGTCGTTTCGGGAGCGCGCCAGAAAGCCTGGAGCCGACTTCGGGCTCTCGTGAGGTTCTCCTGGGTCGTCTGAAGGGTTGCCCGGAGGCCAAATTCGTTCGGTGCGGGGGAGGGGTGCGCTTTTTCTGGCGTCCCCGGCCCTATAAAGTAGATGAGCAGGAAGAGAGAGAGAGAGAGAGAGAGAGAGAGAGAGAGAGAGCGCACGGCTGCGCACCCTGAGTGACGGAAACGACCCTGGCGCCTACCCCCAGGACCGACGGGGGCCTGGGAGGGGCACGGAGGGCCGTCCAGCGCAGGTCACCGGCCGCGCCACGAAGGCGACCTCCCCTTCTCGGAGGAGGAGGAGTAGGAGGAGGAGCAGGAGGAGGAGGAGGAGGAGGAGGAGGAGGAGGCTAAGAGGAGGAGGAGAGGAGGAAGAGGAGGAGAGGAGGAGGAGGGAGGGAGAGGAGGAGGAGAGGAGGAGGAGGAGGGGGCGGAGGAGGAGGAGGAAGAGGAGGCCGAGGAGGAGGAGGCGGAGGGCCTCTGGGGAGTGGGCTGGGCTCGGGTGCCGGGGCTGGCTCGGCTGTTTCGGCCGACCTCGGCCGAATGCAGTCGAGGAGGGTCAGAGGGGGCGAGCTCGGACAACGGCAGCTCGCCTTCGGGGGCGCCCCTCGTCCAGCCACGGCTGGACGCAGCTCGGAGGACTGGTGCGCTCGGAACCCCGGAGGGGTCCAGGGTCGGTTTTGAGCCGCCGTTGTCTCAACTCGCCCTGCTCCGAGAGGAGGAGAAGGATCAACAGGATGAGGGTGAGGAGAAGGATCAACAAGATGAGGATGAGGATGAGAATGAGGATGAGGATGAGGATGAGGATGAGGATGATGATGCTGATGTTGAAGCTGATGATGCTTATGGTGATGATGATGACGATGATGGTGATGCTGATGCTGGTGATGATGCTGATGCTGATGCTGATGCTGATGCTGATGCTGATGCTGATGCTGATGCTGATGCTGATGATGCTTACGGTGCTGCTGATGATGATGATGATGCTGCTGCTGCTGATGATGATGATGATGATGATGATGATGATGATGATGATGATGATGATCATGAGGATGATCATGAGGATGATGAGGATGAGAAGGAGGAGGAGGAGGAGGAGGAGGAAGAGGAGGAGAGAGGATCGTGGTTGTCGTGCTTCCCTGCATCGTCTGGTGACAGTGTTGAAGCGCCCAAGTACACATTGCGACTGTGATGTTGTTGGTTCTTGTCGGGTGGGAGGCTTGCGTGAACTCACACGCGAGTGGTGTGATTTTGAACAGAGATGCACGAGCTGAGACCACAGCACGAAGCGCAAGTGTTTCGCCTTCTGGCTCGAACGAGCCAGCCGGCTTGGCTCGACTTGACTCTTGCTGGCCCTGGAAGTGTGCTTTCCTTGCTTCGGCCGTCTCGTCTTGTTGCTGCTGCTGCTGCTGCTCTTCGACTTGAGTCGGGCATGTCCCTCTGCAGGAGGAGAGTTCAATAATAGTAACAGAAATAGGACCGTGACGAGTTTTCGTGCTCTTTTCACTATTTCATGTTGTTTGACTATGTTTTGTCTACCGTTCAAAATCCGCCTGTAGTAGGACATGCCCGACCTCCTCCACAGGACCTGGAGGCTGCCCGCGAAGAGCTCAACCGGCTCGCGCGCTTGCGCCGGAGCAAGCGCCTCAGCGACGCCGTCGCCAGCAACGACGAGGACCAGCTGCGAGACGCGATCAGCATCGCGCAGAGCCGGGAGCCTCGGGTGGCCGCCCTTTGGTCACGCCCGGCAGCTTTGCATCCAGCTCCAGAAGCTCATCGATCATCATTCTGTCTGTCTCCTTCTCTCTCTCTCTCTGCCCCGCGCCCAGAGACGGACCTGGACCTGGCTCCAGATCCTGGGGTATCCGTGCCCCCCCCCCCCAGGGCAGTGCGCACGCAGAGACGGATCCGGATCTGGATTCGGACGCTTTCGGCAGGTCGGGCATGTCCTTCTACAGGAGAAATGGTCCAGAATGGTAAAAAGGTAGTCAGGTGACGGGTTTTCGTGCTCTTCTGAATGTTTTAGTATTCTTCCAAAATCTGGTTTCAGGATGACATGCCCGATCTAACTCTACGGTCACTTCCCAAGGGAACGGAGGGTTCGACTGGCCCCAGGATCCGAGCCTTCTGGAGCTCATTGGCCTCAGGATCAGGGCCCCCCGCGGAGGTAGAGGAGGAGGAGGATGAGGAGGAGGAGGAGGATGAGGAGGAGGAGGAGGCGGACCAGTGCAAACCCAATATTCATTCATGATGGTATGATGTTGGAATGCACCCTCCCTCCAAGCTCCCTCTTCATAGGCCCCTACAGAGGGTTCATTTCCACTGAGGGAAGTGCGCCGTTGTGGGAGAAACGTGTGAAAATCTTGACGCGTGCTAAAACATCATTCTCAGGACTTCAACACCACGAATCAACCTGAATGCTGCGTCTTGACGACCCTGAATCGTGCCAGAACACAATTCCTGGGATTTCAACACCGCGAATCAACGTCACTGTTGCGCCCTGACATTCCTGAATCGCTCCCAAACATTATGTTTGGAATGTTAGCCATGTCGAATCCGTGAAACTCTTGCAATTTCTGGCGACGAATGCGCGCGGCGGTAAGGCGAGAGCCACATTTTGAAAAGGAGCCGCCCTCAATCCGTGAAGCTCTCTCTTACGATTTTTGTTCAAAACCGAACATGTGCGGCGCTAAGGCGAGAGCATGCGAGAGCCACATTTTGAAAACCACCCGCCCTCAATCAGTCAACCTTTCGCAATTTGTGTAAAACGAATGTGCGCGGCGCCTCTGGCGAGAGCCACATTTTGAAAACTACCTGTCTTCAATCCGTGATTGTTATTGCATTTTTTTGTAAAACGAATGAGCGCGGCGCTAAAGCTAGAGCCACATGTTTAAAACCGCCCGCCCTCGATCCGTAAAGCTGTTGAATTTGCTTAAACAGCGAAAAACAAATGTGCGCGGCGCCAAAGCGAGAGCCGCATTTTGAAAACGGCCTGCCCTCCATTTGTGAAGTTGTTGCCAATGTTTTAAGCTTCAGGATCATACATGGGGAGGAGGTATCAGGCGAAATGCCCAGCCCGCCCTTTCGACCGGCCTCGGGGTGCGACAGGGAGAGGTAGTTAAAAGGAACGGAATGAAAATGGAGGAGGAGAGGGAGGATGAGGAGTTGGAGGAGGAGGAGGTAGAGGATGAGTACGAGGATGAGGCTGAGGAGGGGGGAGAGAAGGAGATGGAAGAGAGGGAAGATAATAATGAGGATTGGAGTAGAGGGTGTGTGAGGAGGAGGAGGAGGCGGAGGAGGAGGAGGAGGAGGAGCAGCAGGAGGAGCAGCAGGAGGAGCAGCAGGAGGAGGAGGAGGAGGAGGAGGAGAGGTGAGGAGGAGCGAGCAGAAGGAGCGAGCAGGGTTAGTTCACGGAAGGAGGATGAGTTGAAGGCGGAGTGGTCGATTCGGCTGTCGTTCAAGCACCGGCCCAGAGAATGGAGAGACCTCGTTGGGGGGGTCGTGAGCTCCCCATGCCGCTGGCGCGCTGCCCCGTCCAGGGCCACGCTGGCGTGTTAGAACTTAGAACCCTCTCCCTTACGGCACTCGACCGCCTCGCCGTGGACCTTGTGGGCGGGCACCAGCGGGGTGGCAGCCGCCCCCTCGGAGAGGCCTCCTCCTCCTCCTCCTCCTCCTCCTCCTCCTCCTCCACCTCTTCCTCCTCCTCCTCCTCCTCCTCCTTCCTCCTCCTCCTCCTCCTCCTCCTCCCCTCCTCCTCCTCCTCCTCCTCCTCCTCTCCCCTCTCCCTCTCCTCCATCACCCGTCTCTCCCGCACTCCTCCCCCTTCTCCCCCCCTCGCTCCCCTCCCTCTCCTTCTCCTCTCCTTATCCTTCTCCCCCCCTCCTCCCCCTTCTCTCCCTCTCTCCTTCTCCTCCTTCTCCTCCGCTGCCCCCTCCCTCCCCCCTCGCTCTGTCGCCGTGGGCGGCGAGGGACTCTTGCGGTAAAACTGTCCGACTCGGTGGAAGTCCTCTGGAAACCATCCTTGGCCCCTCTGTACGGTCGGACACTTGTGGATATCGTGTCGCTCCCGCCGGTCCTGGCCCACCACGCTTCGGCGCGACACCACGCTATCCGCCTGCTGGTCCCGAGGCGTCTACGTGCCGAGCTCCGAGCTTCCCGCCACGCTGAGCGGAGCGACGCGCTATCCGTTTGCAAGGACCGCCGTGGCGACGTTCTATCCAAAAGTCCCCGACCGTATTCTACCCCAGGACCCTGACTCCAGTGAAGGACGTGCACGTTCGGAAAACCAGGGGCCCCCGCTTGGAGTGGACTGAACAACCACACTCGCACTCTCTTCGAGTACGTGATGTCGACGGGGTGCGCGGGCCTGCTGATCGAGCAGTTCTTCGTGTTCGCTGGATCACATACAGCGCCGACGCGCCCGAGGGCGCACGGCAGGCCTTTCCTCTTTCGGGATGCAGCTCCCGGGAGGTTCGTGTCGGAAGCTGGCTTGGCCAAATCCCGCTTGCAATCCGGCTTCATCCCGCTCAGTTCGGCTAACTCCCGCTTGATCCGGCTCAGTCCCAGGCTTAGGCCGACTTGATTGGGCCCAGTGGCCCCCTCGTCGGGTACAGTGGCCCGTGGTCGCTCCGACGAAGACCTCCCCGGGACCTGCCTCTTAACATGCCGCGCCGACGTGCCTCAGGGCATATGGTATATTCTTCCTTTCGTGGAGCAGCTGTAGGGGGCCACATGCGAACCCTACCCCTACCCCCCCCTCAGAATTTGGTGGGCGGTATGAGTAGGGCTCGCATGTGGTCCCCTAAGCTGGAGGTCACCTCGGGCCCCTTCGTCGGCAAGTCATGGGGTCCCCGTGTGTCCTCGGAATTCCGTCTTCAGAGTTCGGGGGTGGACAGAGCCCCCACCTTGACACGTCGATTCGTGAATTGTCCGTTTTCGGTTCTCGAGAGGGCGCCGCGGCCGTCATTTTCCAGGCTTGCGCCCGCCAGGTTTCGGCCCGAGGTCGTTTTCACCAAACCACATTTTATTAAAGGGGGTTCTGTCCATTCCCGAAGAGAGCACTCGAGCGTCCGCGGGCGCCATGCAGTCGATGAGCCAGCGCGCCAGCTCGGCGTCGCTGGAGCCTGGTGTTTCGGCGTCGACGCTGCAGCGTCGATTCTCGAGTCGGTTGGCATCGATCGGCGGCGAACCTGGGGGGGAAGTGAGAAGGGGCGGGCTTTCTCAGAAAGCTCGGACGATGACGTTCACGAGGACGACCACGACGACGACGACGACGACGACGACGACGTCGACCACGAGCACGACGACGACGACCACGACACGACCATGACGATGACGACCACGACGACGACGACGACGACGACGACGACGACGACGACGACGACGACGACGACGACGACGACGTTCCCTGAAGACACTGCGTAACCTTATCGAAAGGCTGGGGGGCCTCTGCGAAGCCCCGCCGCCCTCCGCGAAGAGGCCTGCCCCGCCTCGCTCTCCTAGCAGGAGCTCGCCGCCCAGGAGGCCGAACGCAGCGGGCGGAAGTCGTGATTTCGGCTTCGGGTTTGGAGGACGTATTGGGCGGAGTCATGATGTCGAGTATGAACCCGAAAATGTAGATTTCGGTCGACATGATTTTGTTCGAGGAGGGCTCAAGCAGAATCGTCGTTTCCACTCGGGCAGCCCGTTTGGCATGCAAGATCTTCGGTTCGGTACAGCCCAAGTTGTCAGTAAGGCTGATCGACTTCCCAGGGGTACCCTTGCACCCCCTGCTCCTCCGGCCCATCCTCGATCACGTCCCACGGCCAGCCCCGCTCGAAGAGCGTCGGCATGGGCCTCCAAGGTCCGTGCCTGCTCACCGCGCCTCCCTGCTGTCAGCTGCGGCCGCACGACGTCACGGGAGGCCCCCGCGCGTGGCCACGGAGGGGGGGCCACCCCGCGGCCTCCGCGAGGGCGCCCGGGGTCGCCACCCAGCCGGCAGACCCCTCCCTGGGGCGGCCGCGACGGGGGCGCACGCCGACCGTCCGCGGGGGAGGTGGTGGGCCAATGTTCCACCACCGCTGCCAGAGGCAGGACGGCGGAGAGGGGAGGATGGGGAGGGCTTCCTCCTCCTCCTCCTCCTCCTCCTCCTCCTCCTCCTCCTCCTACCTATGGGAGCGGTGGTGGAAAATCGGCCCATCAGAAGGGGGGGAGGGGGGGTGCGCCCGCCGCGCAGCCGCCCACCAGCCCGGGGAGAGGAGCTGCCGCCCGACGAGATCCAGAGGGCCAGCGAGGCTCGCGGGGGGTGCGGCGGTCGGTCGCGCGTGCCTGGTGCTGCTGCACCTGCTCCTCCTCCCCCTCCCCCATCGTCCTCCTCCTCTTCCTCCCCCTCGCCTCTCCTTCTCTCTCCCCTGCCTCCTCCTCCTCCCCTTCACCCCCCCTCCCCCACCCATCCCCTCTCCCCCCCCCCCCCTCCCTGCCCCCCGCCCATGCCTTTTCTGCCCCCCCCCCCACCCCCCCCCCCCCACCCAAGGACAAATTCTCCCACCCCCTCCTCTCTTTTTTGACGCTGCGCGGGCCTGAAGCACGGGCTTGCGGCGTTAATGCGATAGGGGAAACAATCGCCGACTTAGGCGAATAAGCAAACAAATTAGGCTAGTGGCCAGCTCTGCGAACTCCCCCTCCCTCCTCCTCCTCCTCCTCTTCCTCCTCCTCCTCCTCCTCCTCTTCCTCCTCCTCCTCCTCCTCCTCCTCCTCCTCCTCCTCCTCCTCCCCCTCCTCGTGCTCCTCCTCCTCCCCCTCCTCGTGCTTCTCCTCCTCCTTCTCCCTCTTCCCTCCTCCCCCTCCTCCCTCCCGACAGGCGCTGGGCTCCCTCATCCGCGCCCGCGAGCTCAAGCTCCTG